AAAAAAAAAAAAAAAAAAAAAAAAGATATATATATTTACGAGATTTCAAATTTAAACTTAGAAATAGTAATAATTAAAAATATATTAATATTAATATTAATATGCTTTAAATTTAAAAAAAAAAAAAAAAAAAAAAAAAAATTCACAAAAAAAATGCTAAAATTACATCATAAAATTCCTAACAGTACAAAATTCACAAAAAAAATGCTAAAATTACAGAGAGAAGAGAAAGAACAACTCTATAGGCTTAAGCTTCTTCCTCACAATCCTCTAACCACCACCATTAACAGATACATCTCTTTAAGCTTCTTCCTGTAAATAACTCTCTTTTCTATTCAGATCATTAATGGGGTTTCCTCAAAACTTCTTCTTTTCTTCGTCATCGTCTTCTTCAATGATTAAGCCCTCGGGTTGCTTGTTGGATCGCTCCTGCACAAGATGAACCTATGCCACCACCTCCTCTTCCTCTCCCGACTAACTGGTTCTGATCTCACATTTCTATTCTCATGTAGATCAATCATGTATTGAACAACAGCCTGAGATGTAGCGACAGTAAAAGCAATGTGTTATAGTTGGACATAGACAAGTTGAGGAATGTAAACATTTCGTTTGCGCTCATTACCTGCGCGCCGTTAGCAAATATCTGTCTGGGGGGTACTTCGAACGGATTCTCTTCTGCTCGGAGAACACGAAGCCGAGTCAGCATTCTGAATGAATCTGGAAGAACCCGTATCTGGTTATTGCTAATATCCAGTTCTTCGAGCATTTCTAGGTTCCCGATCGACTTTGGCAGATATTGCAAATCCGCAAAGTTGTTTCCAATGTTTATCTTGACGAGTTTGGTTGCAAAACATAAGCTCTCTGGTACAGATTCAAGCTCGTTGAAACTTACATCAAGCTCCCTCAGATTGGTGAGAGAGGACATGGTTGTTGGCAATTGTTTGATGTTATTGTAACGCACAGACAAAATCTCGAGACTCTCTATCTTTCCTACAGCTTCAGGAAGTGCTTTAAGCCGATTATAATCGGCAGTCAGCTCACAGAGCGACGTACACCGACCAATCGTATGAGGGATCTCCTCAATATTATTTGTCTCCAAGTTCAATCTTCTCAACTTCACAAGATTACCAATGGATTCAGGGAGTGAAGTGAGTAAGTTTGAACTGAGATCAATCTCCTCAAGATGAATCAGCTTCCCAAATGAAACAGGCAAAGATACTAATTCGTTTCCCCTGAGATCCAAATGGATCAAACTGGCGAGATCTGTGAAAGAGCCTGGAAGATTATTGAGCCTGTTGGCATGCAAATCCAATTTCTCCAATTGGGAAAGAGCTCCAATAGTTTCTGGCAGAGCCACAAGACGATTCTCAGATAAATCTAAAGAAACCAAACTGGTCAACTTCCCTATCGATTCAGGCAGCCATTCTACTTGGTTCATCAGCTTGTTTCTTAGATCAAGAACTTGACTACCCTTCTTTGCTTTCTCAATAACACTAGCCAGCGCCATCAAATTATACTTTTCACCATCTTTACCTGTGACAATGGAAAATGGAGCTCTATTCAAAATGGGATACCTCATAAGAACACTCAAACACTAGAAAATGAGATTACCCACCTGAGGAACTTGCTTGTTTTAAGGTTGGATCCTTGATAAAGGACGAGGAAGAAACGGCTGGCCTAGCTCCAAAGCCATCCATATACGAAGCTTTGTTGCCTGTTGGGACGTAACTGTCATCTCGAGAGAATAATTGAGCGGCGGTTTTTGTAGGCCCTTTCTCAGAATTGTAGAACAAGCTTGAAGGTGCTGCGGTGAAGGTACTGACACTCCCAGAAACAGAAGGAACGGCGGAGCTTCTATTCAAACTAGCGGTCGAAGTTGGATAGGAAGGAGAGGAAACGGCATTGGGTGTTTGTAAAGAGGTTGAAGGAGAAGGAGAAACGCACTTTGAAGCTCTCTGAAGCATTTCGTCGAACAGGTAGTGGACATTTTCAATTTCCAGCAATCTCATTGCTTCCCACTTGTTTTCTATGCTTTTGAAGGAGATGAAATTCCTCTGCATATCAAGCAAGATCATGAAAAGCTCTTCTGGAACATCTTGATTCTTGGTCTGTCTTTCAATGGCTTCCAGTTTGATTTGGGCTTCTTTATCCACATTGCTGATCAGAACCTTGGCCCCTTCAACTTCTTCAATTCCAGGCCTGAGCGGCAGAGATCTGTGGAGTTTCATTATCTCATCCACCACTTCTTGTGTTGTTTTAGGAGAAATCGAAACCTCCATTTTCTCTTGAATCCAATCCAAACCAATCTCTAAAGCACCGACAACCACTCAAAATTAAAGAACCATTAATGAATTGAAAAACCCCATTCAGATTTCCCTCTCTCTTTCTTCTTTCTTTTGACCGAAAACCCAGAAGCCTTAGATCCACAAAGAAGAAAGACAATTGACCTAAACTTCTATAAACTCCGCAATAAATTACAGGAAACCACCCAAAACTGCAATCAGCAACACAAAAAAGAACAAAAACCCAGCAAGATCAAGAAAAAGGAAAGAACCCCAGTATCCAAAGCTTCGTAGATTAGAGGAAGAACTAAGAAAAATTGATGAAAACGACCAACCCCAGTTGAAATTCAACTGAAAAAAGAGTAAATTAATGGAAATGGCGAAGAATACAGCGAAGTTGAGGTGGGTTTTGGAAGAGAAAAACAAGCGCCAACAGAAAAATGGAAAAAAAAAAAAAAAAAAAGGATTGGGATTGAGATGACTCGCTTGAATCTCGCCGATACCTTTTTAAATTCGGATTCGGTTCAGTTGGGGGTTGGCTTGCAATGCTTCACATTACAAATCCAGCTATTTCCCTGCTGCCCTCCGCCCCCGTTCTTTAACCGTTTCATCCTCTACCATTTATCCTCTATATATATATATATATATACACTTCAAATAATTTTAATTACTATATTCCTACTTCAAAATTAAATTTAAATTAATTTCCTTTTATAAAAATTGTTAGAACTTAATATCTATCAACTTTCAAACACTTTTCCAAAAATGTTTTAAAAAACCCGTATAATTATATATATATATATATATATATATAAATAAAAATATAAATATATAGAGGCAAGAGGGTTTTTTTAACCTCTAGTGTCGAGAAAAATAATTAAGTCTTCACTTAACTATTGAATACGTGAATGACTAGATATAGAAATTAGACAATAAAATCTTAAACTTTTTAAAATTATAAATGTTCGGGTTCATTTTTTAAAAGTAAATTTTAGGGACGGAAAAAGTTAAAAGTATATATATATATATATATTTTGTTTTTATATAAGAAAAGAAAACTTTAGTTCATAGGACTTTTTCCAAACACAGATCTTTATGTATAGTTCATGCGTTGTCAAAAATTAAAGATCTTTTGTTTGGTCACTTGGAAGAATATTCTAATTAATTTTTAAAATATTCAAAAATTACATATAATTTTTATAATATAGTTAGTTTCCTTAAAAAAAAAACTCATAAATTAATTAAATGACGATATATATATATATATATTTTTTTGTCTCTAACTCAACCGTGGTCTATCGTATTTAAATAAAATCGTATAAAGTCTTTGAATAATAAAACATTTTAGAAATGTTAATAAAATCATAAAATAAAAAATTGAGATTGAAAAATAAAAAATTAGAGAAAAAATTGAAAGGGAGAATATTAATAATAATTTAAGCTAATACATGCGTAGACGGTAGAGAGAGATGGAAATGGAGGTTGGGAGGGGCAAAAAGGGAAACGAAAAAATAGATGACGTCATTGTTTGAAAACCAGTTGTCAGTGATGGATAATGGAGGAGGAGTGCCTTGGTGATGGTCACTCGCTGACAGACCAATCAAATGTGAGAACTAAATGCAGAAATTTTTAAAAAATAAAATAAAAAGACCTCCACATGTCTACCTTCCGATGGACGACACGTGTTGATTGTTGCTCACCTTCACTGCCAACTCCATCCAGCTGTCACCCACTTCACGTTATAACTGTTTCTTTATTTTCAGTTTGTATGACACGTCAGCCTCCAGCTCATTTCTTTTCAAAATTTAAAATTCAGAAAAGGTTTAAATTACACGTGCCATGTCTAACCTTTAAATTTTAAAAGAATTTTCGAACGACAAATTGAAGAATATTATCAAAGTTTATTATATTTAAAATTGAATTTTTAATAGTTCATATATTAAAAAAAATGTCAAATAAATGAAGATTCTATAAATAAAAAAATTGTAAATTTATTAACACTTAGCCTCTTAGCCTCTTAGCCTCTATACTTTGACAACTAAGTCTATAGTTTTCAGTATTTAATAATTACAAATTGAGTCCAAACATAAATTAAATTTATATCTAATAAATCAATTATTTAAAAATTTAAAAATTTAGAAAACACAAAAACTTCAAAGTTTAGACACTAAACTTATAATTTAAATACTTAAATAAAAAGAAATTGGAAACCCAGATAAATTATTTTAAGATGAAAATTCAATGATAATTTATTAGACTAAATTTGTAAGTTGAAAATAAATTATAAAAAGCTGTTTTCAGAAACCCAGAAAAAATGAAAAGGAAAAAAAATGGACATTAATTGTGAGGGGCGGCCTCACGTGCCCTGTTATCTTCTCTGTCTCTGCTACACGCTACACTGCACGAACAAAAACAACCTTCAGATCACCATTTCACATGCCATGGAGGTTGGCTTAACGCCCCTAACCCAAATTCCCTGATGGACCTTGTCCCCTTCCCAACCCCACATTCTTACCTTCATTTCTTCTTTCACCATTTTCTCCTTCTCTCACAAATCAAATGAATCTAATCTGAATTCTCGTCAAAATCAATACAATAAATCTATAATCATCACCAACCTTGTAAACACAGCTAGTTTGTGTTCAGAAGCAGAGTAGTACCAAAAGATGCGAGAGTCTCCAAACTGGTAATAGTTGGGATTGGTGGCGTGGAACAGCCTGAAGTGTTTCTTTATCCAAATATTGGGCCGCTATGTCATCTTCTTCATGATAAAATCAATATATCCACGAGATCTCGGCTTCTTTTTATGTACTGTGATTTGGGTTTGGAGGCTCGTACACCCCTTGGGTCATCTCTGGTCAAGCTAGCTGTCTGTAGCAATGACCAGAGGTCAGCGGAACCCCTGATGTCATGTTCTCCATAAACACTCTCATTATTATACTGTGTGCATTCGCACTCATCATCATAAAGGGAAGTATCCCTATGCTTATATACACACAACATGCTTGAGGTCCCTCTAGTTCTCATCTTAATATCTCTTCATCTCTTCTCTTCTCTTCTGGCACAATCCTAGATGGTCTCATCTCTTTGGTACCATGTTTGGTTTTTACAGGGATGGCTGTCAATGAACTAGTTAGCTTGATCGTTGAGCCCACCATGAGTGAAGACTAATGTAGGATGGTGATGATGATGATGAAATGGACTTCCTCATGATAATCCCTTTTTTAAGATATCTTTTCCACCCAAGTAACACATTTCCTACCCTAAGCTTTGATGGGTTTATCTCGGAAGTGACAGTGAAAACCTTCTTAAATTCTTCCCCAGGCATGAGAAGAGCTGGGTCTACAAGGTTATCGCTAGCACTTTTGATGGAACATGACTTTTCTTCTATCCCGTCATTATCTGTTTCAAATGACATGGATAATAGTTGCAACGGGACCTCCGTGCAATTCCGTGCACTGACCACAAGTATGCAAGTTTCATTTAGAGGCAGAGAAAATGACTGGTCGGAATGAGGGATTGCTTTAGTCCTTGAAAGCAACAACCGGTCCCGCCGGAAAGGCAACAAAAAGTGATGACCGATTGTGACAGCAGGCTTTCCGTCAATCTGCAAGCTCCTTTGGACGTTGATTTTTTTAGCATTTGGTTCATCGCTAAGTGAAGAATAACCCAGGGATACATAAAGCATAATGGGCTTCGCTCGATGCCACTTAATTTGCAGTTTGCAGGACCAGGACTCTCAACTTTTTAGAAATGGAACAGAAATCAGTCCAAAAGACTGCTTAATCTTCATTGCTTCATCAGAGATCAAATGTGATTCCGCATCATCTTCCATACAAGAAATGCCAAGAAGCTCAACATGATGGCTAACCAAAAGGTGTTCTGTTTCCCTTGGGCTAAACAAACCACCTCCTTGCACATCAACCATGTTGATCTTTAACTCGCCCGAGTGGATATCAGGACCCATGGAGACCACGGTTACAGGTACTATGAAAGTCTCTCCAACTTATGCAAGGGTAGAAGCGCTTAAAGTAAGATCTACTTCTGGGTCAAGCTCTTCAACCTGGATTGCTTTTAGGCCAGAAAAGGCTAGAGCAGGATCCTTGGTTGGGAGCATCTCCACATGATCTTCGAACTTCCAAAGAGGTAAATCATTCATTGAAACAGGGCTTTCAGCTCTGCAACAGATCGTAAAGTTTGGCCGTATCTTTGCAATAACAGAGGTGCATTCAAGTTTCCCACTTCGATCTGAAGGAGAAAAAAAAAACATAAATCTCAAAGCATTATAACCAGAAAACCACATATACATATACATGCGCAGCTATCTAACTGGCTACAAATATTCATATGTATGTGTATCTCTCTCTCTATATAATCGACTAACAAAACCATACACCTAGGATAATGAGGGGAAAACTGAAATGGTTCAAATATTCAGAATCTAGTAAGATGAGCCAATGACAATATCACATCTCCACAGGATAAAAAAATCTTGCTTAGAACATATGTCCAAGAATCCGAATATGTATGCAGTACTTAGGAACAATTTTGAACAAAGGAAACTGAAAAACGTAAACTCTTCAGAACCATTATGAACATGATATAGAATCAAATTTCCCCTAGGCATTGCTGGGATACCAGAATCTCATCTCCGTTTTCTGTATACCTTAACCTCTTTAATGCATGTTTACTATTAGAGAAAAAAAAAAAAACTGATATAGAATCAAAATTCCAAGAACTCATGAGAAAGCAACTAATTACCAGTCATCCGTAGCCATTTATTTGATGAAAGTGCAAGAGAAGGAGCTTACTCCACTCTGTTTTCATGTTGATCACTGGCAAACGCAACAGAAGGAAGTATTTCAGCATTCATTATGATAAAGTTACACTCTGATTGATTAAAGTGAACTTCTAATTGATCAAGTTCAATTGTAAGGAACAACTTGTAGGCATCCTCATAAAACCGTAAAGCTTCAATCCAGTCACTTAGGAACTCTGCATAAACGGCAGCCTACCACGGGTTGGCGTAACGACAACTCAAGTTCAATCGAACAACTCAAAGAACATTGTACGCAATCATAGAATTTCTGTATACATGCAATAAGGATTTTTTATCAACAACTTTCCATTGAGAAAAGTAAAAGAATACATGGGCATTCAAATAAAAGTATGCCCACAAAAAGGAGAAACTATTAAAGAAAAGGCAGAACGTCTATTTGCTGAGAATTGTTAGATATCATTACATATCTTCAAGACCCTCATCCAATATGTCTCACATTAATGTTGGCAGAGGTGACTGAATACTATTGCCACGAATCAGGGCCAGTCAAAATGCCATTCTCAAGTAAAAAGTTTGCTTACTGTGTTGTGAGACAGGAGACCTTACTTTAAAGCAATACCGAATATTCAACTCAGTGTAATTGTAAGTCCTCTTTTCAATACCTGTTTTGATCCTCCTTTCTTCATCTTTATAGTATGTATTTGCTAGTTCTGAGAAGGCGTTCCGTAGCCTGCGCAAGGATGTTGCAAATAATAATAACGAAGCTGCTAATTTTCAAGATGTAGACAACAAAATGCAAGAAGTAATTTCTGTAAGTCATCTTTTCAAGGCAAGAAAAGGGGATTGCATCAGTTATGTAGCATTGTTAGGTTTAACAAAGACGACATGTTTGCTTAAAGCAATCATTCGATCCTCGTCGATATCATCTGCAATGAAATCTTAAATGTATACGTAAGTATAAAAAGAAAGAAATAACACACTCTTCTATCAGGAAAACAAAAACAGCCATGGAAAATGTGCATACCTTTGGAATCAGAAAAGACAATAACAACAACTAATTTGATGTTCCTGGAACGAGTCACAGCTCTGTAAATAAAATGAAATCGATTGCCGATTAAGTTGATACTGCAATTAACAGAGAAGAGTGAGAAGTGATGAGGAAGTACTTGAGGTGATCGAGATCGGAGCAGAGCTGAAGCCACTGGGCAGGATCGCCGGAAACATGAAGAGAAGGGAAAAGAGCAGTAACGACAGCAGGAACCATGGTTCGATGCTCAAGAAGCCAATCCCTATTGAAGATACCGGGAGGGGGAGTGGAAAGAGGAGGTTCAGAGGAGTCCAATGGCTTTATGATCTTGGAGAGGTCGAAGAAGGCAAGAGTGTGGATCGGAGGCTGCTCGGAGAGAAGGTGAGAGGAGAATGGTGGGGTGAAGGTCGGGGCATCCGACGAGGGAAATCAGCCTCATAGGTGGAGTCTGAAGCTCTTCCGACGTGACGTAATTAGGCGCCGATTCATTTTGCGTCTCATTGAATAAAATCTAACTTATTTTATTTTATTTCTTGAAGTATTTTATTTGTGATTTTAAATTTTGTAAATAAATAAATTTATCTTGAAAAGGTCGGTTTAAACCAACCCAAACCGATGTCGGTTGAGGTTGAACCGGTTCAATTTGAAAAAAAGACAATATAAGACTCTGTTATCTTTTCGTTCTCTTCTTTCCTCCCCCGCCTTTCCTGCTTTAAACCGACTCGCCTTCTTTCCCCTTTCACTCTTTCCGACCGGAAAGGCGGCGGCGCCACCTCCATTATCAAGTGGCTGGAGAGTCAACTGAGAAATCGAGTCAATCTGCTTCAAGCGAGTATGGCACCGTCAATTCTGAGTCGTCGTCGAGTTCTAGTGTAAATTAACCGGCGAGAAAATGAGTTCCGAAACGGGGAGATGGATTGCGGCACTGGACGACATTCGAGAAGCCGGGGAAATTCTCGACCCGGTAATGGTGGTGAGCTGTCCGCCCGGCGCAATGTTGTTGGCCATCCATCCTTCGAAGAAGATCGGCCACAGCTCCGCCCGAGCGGCGTATATAGCGGCGGTGTGGTCGGCTGGGCCTCTTACGATGATGCAGAGCTTGGTCCTCAGGTTTTGAAGACCAAGATCGTCCATGGCCGCGATTTTGGAACCGGAACTCGCAGGACTGGAAGAATGAAACGCCGCCGCAACTGTGGTGGATGCTACGCCGATTTAATTTCGAGCTCCTCCGAGAAAATTAAAGAGCTTCTTTCCAACCTATCCATCATCATAAGGCTTAGGAGTTCATTCGTTTTCTCAGGCTCTGTTGAAAATCGAAAAACCATCAGAAATCTATATATATCAAACCAGCGGCTTATAAAGATCAACCCATTGGATCATAAAATTTGAGATTACTACAGAAATGCATTTTCACAAGGGGGAGGAAGAATCATATAGGAGCTTCCTTTCTTGTCTTGTTAGGCTCCAACCTAAAATGGTTAAAAGGTTGAACATTTTTTCTTATATCCATCGGCAGCTCCTAACAATCTATTCATGTTTTTCCAGCTCAAAAGGCGGAAGATTATCTAGAAAGAAGCTAAGGTGGAGGTAAATTTGAGTGGGCAAGCTGCAGTTCTGAGCGATCGATCAGTCCTTCTAAAACAAGGAGTTCATCCAAGAGACCAAGCTTTTCTTCTTCAAGGGCCTTCACCTCATCTTCAACTTCTTTCAGTTCTGTTCCCAGAGAAAAGCTCTCTTCCTCCAGGAGCAAATATTTCCTTCTTAAAACACGGTACTCATTCCCAGATGCAGATGAAGAATCTGGCAGCGAATCCGAATTCGACCTTTCGGGCTGCTGGAGCGCTACTGATGGTTCATTCTTCAAACTTCTTTTGGAGGACTTCTGAGTTGTTTGTGCTGGGAAAGACCCCTTAATTCGATCGTTGGGATCTTTCCCTTGTAAATGAGATGCTGTGGAAGCTTTTGGGTGCGAAGCTTTTTGTTTTGGTGGCCTAGAATATGGTAAATCATCAATCCGAGACATGGCGCTGTACAGTCGTTCTTCTCGCTGCAGATGCTATGCAAAGGATTAAAAGCACAAAGAACAGATAATTAGTCATTATTTATTGCAGGGATTGAGAACCGAACATAGGTACAAGACAATACAATAATGTTTGTCACAGTTGGGTGAAAGGTGCGCGAGAACATTCGCCATCAACAACAAACATCATAGCAAGCCAGGCATCTTCTTTTGAAAATTACTTCAGAGCATTAACTTTTAACATTACAGAAAACAAATCCGCAATAAAACGCAACTATTTTGAAATTGAATGTCCAACAATCACAAATAGCAACAGTCAATCGAGAACACCAACAGGAAGAAACAAACAATCATAAACTGGTCGTCGTAAAAATCAAGCCCACCACTAGCAAATATTCTCCACTTTGGACTTTCACTTTTGGACTTTCTCTCAATGACTGATAGGAAGAGGCTTCCACACTTTTATAGACTGCTCTTCTCTCCGATCAATGAGGGATCTCACAATCCACCCTCTTCGAGGCCCAACGTTCTCGCTGGCACTCGTTCCTCTCTTCAATCAATATAGAATCTCAATCGTGAAGACGAGATTGGGAAGAAATCCTCAACCAGCAATATCTTCCCTTTTGGGCTTCCCCTCAAGGTTTTTAAATCATGTCTGCTAGGGAGAAGTTTCTACGCCCTTATAAAGAATGCACTTGTTCCTCTCTCCAATCAATATAGAATCTTAATCGTGAGGATGAGATTGGGAAGAAATCCTCAACAAGCAATATCTTCCCTTTTACCTCACCTTTTGGATTGGGAAGAAAAGAAAATCAACCAAGATGAAAATATGACAGAATCCTAAGATAAAGATATGGCTAGATGGGAGGCATGGGGTTACAGTAGTTTGTCAAATTTGCAAGCGTATAAACAACCATAAATGCAGGTCAAGCAATAAAGCATCTTATATTCCCAATGGAAGAACTCAAAATAGAAATTTATGCAGCCCTGAATCCAAAAGCCTACGAATAAAGCTCAGCATAAACTCTAATGTGTTCTAAAGCAAAAAACAAAAGTCCTCCAAGGTACAATAGTTAATACCAGAACAATACACAGAGAATTAGAAGCAGCGCAAAAGATCAATTTCACATTCAACACCGATCTTTTGCGAGAACTTAAGACTTCAAATAAGGAAAGGAGGGAGTTGTACTATGGATATCTGCTACCATACCCACAAAGGGGAGTACAGAGCGAAAAAGGAGAAAGACCACCAAAAATGCCACGAACTGCTCAACATGGATAACTCCCGAATAAAGAAGAGATGAAAATTTTCTATAGAAAAACAATAAAATAACAGATGAAAAGTGTAATCATCAAATAATCGATGACAATCAAGAGAATGTATAAGCAATTTCTCAGTTAACTAAGATTCTAAATCAACAGAGCTACAAGTAAAAGCTTACATGAACTAAGCAACTCGTTCACCCTAAAATTGATCGCTTTGTAGAACAATTGAGTTTCGGATACCAAACTCTGATAACGAAAACGTAATGAAATCTATTTCTTCCATAGATTAGAAACTCTCAGGGTCAGAAAACCGTAAGAGATCAAAACCGACGATGCCATAAGAATAGGAAGTACATTAGACGATTAACACTGAACTCCAAGCCAAGCAAAGGGATTGAGTTGAAGGGGAAATCTCACCAAAAGTGAACCGAAACACATCGACACATCGACACAACGCACGTTCCACCTAGAAATTAAAGCCGCTGCTTCTAATCGAATTCGAAACCAAATGAAAAACGAACACCCCCAATCAAACCGCTCATGCCACTACATTAAATTCTATTAAAAATTTTGAGGAAAATCCCCTGCCGATGAAAATAACAAACAATAACAGAAATAGACACAAAGAAATCCGATCTCACCTCAAAGAAATAGCGATTAGCCCCTTCCGGAGTCTTCCGGAGCGAGAGACGCACAAATCTTATGGCTCTGGCGGCCGGAAGAGCTCAAACGGCCTGGATCAAACTTCTGGACCGCCGTTGCGTGGAAATTCAGAGATCAGAGAATGAAAAGCAGAAAGGGAAATTTCCAATTTCTTCCCCCGAAAAAAGAACGGGATAAATTATCGAATGTCCCACGATGTTGTAGTTCTTTTGAGATCCTATATCTAATTACTGTATAAATCTCGGATGAAAACGAAACATTATTTATAACGCTTAAAATTAAAATTGTAAGACTGACGACTATACATAAAGTTTTAAGAACATAAAATAATTTTTTTTCTTTTTTTTGCTAACTTAATAAATATACATTTAATTTATTTATTTTATCTCCAAAATATTTATAAATTTTAATAATACTTTAACTTATACAATATTTATAAATATAAAAAAGTTTCATTAATACCTTTCCAATTAAAAAAATAAAAATAACCTTTTTAGTGTCGGGTTTAAAAATACCTATAAAAACGTATGAACAAGTTCTTATGGCCAATAATATGAATGATGTATTTTTTAAAAATTAAAAGTACGATTTTTTAATTGTGTTAAAAAGTTAAATGATATATATATATTAAATAAAGATATTAAAATTTTATTTTTGAGACAGGTGGGAAGTAAAACTGTATTTTTATTTTTTAATTAATTAAACATTATTTATTTAACTCTTAATATAATTTTTCATAACTTCAGTTAATAAAAAACTATACAAACTAGCTACAGAGATTAACACAATTGGTAAGTTTTAAATATTTTTATCATAAAATAATTTATTAATTTAGGTTATTAAAAACAAAAACAAAGATGGGTTATTAATTTGAGTAGTTTGCATCTAAAAGAATATCCACTTTGTTAAAGCTTAAAGGGTCTGCTTTAGGAAAATCCCATGGCGGCAGAGGTACAGAACAGCAAGGCACTTGAAAGATTTCGGATAATTGTTTCGAAATACTTCCATTGTTGGGAGTAATTAAAGCATTCGAGCCAATAATCTCTCGATTTCCCCGCAATTTCCCCTCTTCTGCAAGCCGTACGGTTCTCGAGAAGACCGGCAAGTTTTAACATCAGGAATCACTCCGTAGGGACTTTTTTGAATGATTGTGAAACTCTGGATGAGAAACAGCAGCAGCGTCAAAGGAATTATCACTACTTGGGGCCCCCAGCTGGATTGCCTCTGTTTGCTGCTGTTTTTGTAGCCGTATCTCTTGCTCTTCTCCTTGCTTTCTGCTGATGACTCTGGATCTGGATATGCTTACTGCCAGGTAATGTATTTGTGATTTTGTTCTTCCAGGTTGATTTTACTATGGCGGGTTGGGATCGAGTTGAGAGTTTGTGGCGTTCGTTTTGTTTTGTAGATCGAGAAGTGGTTTTGGTGTTTGAGATGCTTGCGGAACTTGTGTTTTAAAGAATGGTGAACTGAAATTGTGACTTGGGATTTCTTTTTCTATGAGGTGGAGTAGCCGTCGGGGACTTCCGGAGTCAATATGATTGATCAGTTCATCAATTTTGTTATTCGGCCGCCCAGGTATTTTTCTGCTATGCCTGCTTGCTTTGCTTAGAACCAAAAAATTATGTGGTCTTAGTATAGCTTCAAGTGAAGTGACGACAATTCTGCAGCTGAGATCTTGTTTGTTTCCGAGGCTTATGAGCAGCGGCGTTACTCGAATTAGTCAACTTTTGCCTTTTTTTCTTCATGGACGGGTCTTTATACTGTATATTTCTCGTCATTATGCAATTTATTTCATATTTTTTCTGTACAGGGCGGATTATAACCCTGATCAATATTTATGGGAGAAAAAGTTCACTCTCGCGGGTAGAGCATACCAACGACAGGATTTGGAGGTATGGACGAACAAATTCTTCCGTAATTTCCTCTTTTTGTATGGTTGACTATTGAAGAACATTTATAATCTTTCTGTATGAACAATTTTTGCCGAACATGCAGCTAAGAAATTTACGGGGCCATACCTTGCAATGCAGCCATTATTTGCCTTCATCTATTCCTGAAGATACCCATCTGCCTTGTGTCATCTATTGCCATGGTAACAGGTACTTATACCTTGTAGAATTGGAAAAAGTTTCTGAATCGGATCGTTCGCTGCATTGGAGGATTTCCATGTTCTGTTGCTTTTCTTTAGTAAAATTGTTTTTGGACTTGTTTTTTGCCAAGTGACAACTCGTCCAATTCTTACTCTTTGCTTTGATTCTATATGATTTTGGACATTCTACGTTAAGAAATTCTTAACTTAGTTTATTCGTGGGCAACTATTCAGTGGATGTAGAGCAGATGCTAATGAGGCTGCTGTCATACTACTTCCATCAAATATTACTGTTTTTACACTTGATTTTTCGGGTTCAGGCTTGTCTGATGGAGATTATGTTAGCCTTGGCTGGCATGAGGTATGTATCTGTTAACCATACATCTTGGTTTCAGTTTATTGAGGTTCTGAATCTGAAATATTTTGAAATATGATTTCAATGATGTCAGAGAGATGACCTCAAGGTTGTGGTTACATACTTAAGAAGCAACAAACAAGTATCTCGTATAGGTCTCTGGGGAAGATCTATGGGTGCTGTAACTAGGTATGTTCGGTCATATTCTTTTGCATGCTGTCATCACAATATTGTATGCCTTGCTGTTTTAATTTGTCATGGAATTGATCTTAGAGCGGAACTGTGGAGTTGAGTTTCTTCTCTGTGGTCTTTGTATATTTAGTCCTCGTCTTTTGACAGATGATGTATTGATGCAATCATTCTGCATCATGATTTTGTACTTCTTAGCTGCCACGTACTAGTGGCTCGAACTTTTAGGTGAGGGAGTTAGGTACGTGTAGGAATTCTGCAACTTCTCTCAAGTTCGATATAATTTATTTCCCGTAACGTTGTTTACTTTTGAAGTGAAACCTTCAATTTATTAAACCTCCTCGTACTATAATTGAAGTTTCTATCCAATAACGACCTTACAGATGGCCCCTAAGTAATGGAAAGTTTACTTAGTCTGACATGAGAGACAATGTTGTCGTAAAGCATACTCTTCTACTTTTTTCTTATTGCTAATAAGTTGTCAGATATTTCAAAATTCATGAGAGTCGAGAGGCTTGGTAGAGTTTTCAAACCACTTTCCAACCTACTTGAGACAAGATGGTTGACACGGGACCTTGTTTCTTTCAACATTGGTTTTGAGAAAGAAGAAAGGCAAAGCCTAGGCACTCAAGCTGCTCAACTAAAATGTCCTATTTGAGACATTGACTATCTAGTCCCAAGTATATTGACCCTACTGGTCTCTTGACAAGGGCCTACTGGTTGACTTGGGCAAGGAACTTTTGTCCTTCTAGAGGAAATTGAAGGGAGATTTTTGGGTCCCGATTGCTTAGTAGCAAAGTGTAGTCTTCTGATAGAGTGACATTTGCTGGGTCACAATTTTGTCTTCTTGATTGGAGTGCTCGTTGATGTTGGCCATTTGTGCAGATAGTAAATGTAGGCTTCTTTTGACCAAACAAATACTTTCTCGTTTTTTAATGAGGGTTTCTACTGGTAGAAACCATTTGCCATCTTCCTGAAGGTATGAAGTTTTAGCCTTTATCTCGGTGTATGAAATGTCACGTTGGAGAATGGATTTAGTGTTTCTCTCGGTGTATGAATGCAGACTTAATTAGTGCTGGACTCTTAATTAGTGTTTTTTGTATGCCTTTTTTTGTGTGTGTTTTTTGTATGCCTTTCTATTTCTCTCAATTCTGTGAAAAGAAAAGATGTTCGGTGAATGTTTAAAAATTTAACAGATGATCTACTACATTTTTTTTATTAGACTGGATTTATGATATTTCAAAATTTCTAGGACGTATCCAATTACCTGAAGCCTTCTGTGATATAATGCAGCCTTCTTTATGGAGCTGAAGATCCTTCCATAGCTGGAATGGTGCTTGACAGTGCCTTTTCTAACCTTTACAATCTAATGATGGAACTAGTTGATGTTTACAAGATCCGACTACCTAAATTCACGGTACGACCTCTACCTTATTCCACCTTTCACAAACTAGTTTCACCCATCTTCATACTTCACTGGTTGCTGCAAATTGTATCACACAAATTATTATTGAGAACTATAATCCAATAGAATCGCCTGATTTCTAGATTAAACCATAGCTGTAACAAATCTGTGGAAGTGAACCGTTCTTTTTTCTTTTTTTGAAAAATAGCAACTAAAAAACATTTATTAGTGAAAAAAGATTGTGGAGTGATTTTAGTAAAGCGCGAGGCTTTGGAGGAGCAAAGAATGAAGAAAAGAAGTTGGGTCTTTAAACTAGACCTAAAAAACTCTTATCATTGGGTGGATTTAGAGTTGTTATTGAATATAATGGAAAGAAAAAGCTTGGGGAACGGTGGCAGAAAGGATAGAAAGGTTGTGAAGAATTACTTGACTGTCCTCATTAATTTGGATGGGGAGTGCTTTCCTTAGTCCATAGATAGTGGAGATATCTTATTTTCTGCCTTTTTGTTTTCGCTTATCCCCTGTTTTCCTCTTTATGTGATGATTAACTGAAATGCTCCAGAGTGTTCCTTCTAGAAGAATACGCTGTAGAGTGGATGGTGATATAATGTAAACTTGATATGCCAGGTAAAGGTGGCTGTTCAATACATGCGGAGGGTAATAGAGAAGAAGGCAAAGTTCGATATCAAGAATCTTAATTGCTTACAGGTTTGTCTGACCTATTCTTATACTAGGGGTCTTGCTAGATTGACTTCTTCATCTATATTTGTCAGTTGTGCCAATTATTTTACTGGAAGGAACAATGTTTAGAAGTTTGCCATTGACTCTACTTGAACATGAATCAGTGTTATTTTACTGCAGTGCAATACATTTATGTATGAAACTGTTTTTTGAAATTCCTCCAGGTGACCCCAAAAACTTTCATTCCTGCTTTATTTGGGCATGCTAAATGTGATAAGTTCGTTCAACCTCATCACTCCGAACTCATCTATAATTCGTATGCGGTACTGTCCACTTATGAAAAAATTATACCTTTTAGCTATAGGATTGAACATTTCTCATTGCTGATTCATTTTTCTTTATCATGCAGGGGGATAAAAATATTATAAAGTTTGATGGGGAACATAACTCGTCAAGACCACAATTCTATTATGACTCGGTTTCTATTTTCTTCTATAATGTTCTTCATCCACCTCAGTTTCCTTCTGCTCATGCAAGTAAGCTTGAGAAATATTATGATTTAGGGGATTTGAAGATTGGGGCCGGTAAGGATGAGGTAAATTTCTAACTTGATGCCTCAGACCAGTACTCTCTTGTATTCAATATATGGTGTTTTATTCATAAGTTTCTTATTGTTTTTCAAGTTTTTATTCCATGTCCATGATCAATTGTATATTCTCTGATCTCATTTACCTTCTAGTTCAACAGTGTCATTTTGTTGCACAAGGAGTATTGTTTATGTTTTCTTTTGATCTTTTTGGTCTCATTTGTTCTTTTGATCCTTTTATTCATAAGCTCAGTAACGTAGAGCAACTTTTACACTGACATGATTACACTACGATAACTGCTCGATCTCTCTTGGTTCTTAAATAATGTAATGGTATTTATTTCATAATTGTTAGCAGTTATAGATAGGTTAGGGACCAGTGCTTTCGAAGTGTTTGGAGCTTTATAATTTAGTTATTGTTATTATTTTAATACCTATAACATGTTTTTTTATTAATCAGTACTTGAATTTCTAGTGTCTATTAGATTCACACAATCTTCAACATTTTGATTTCCAGAATCTAATATACGAGATAATAACAAGTCTTCGTTCTAGTGGAAATGATGTTGCTGGTTCATCTTCTGCTCCTAGTGTTCCAACCACGAAATTTGTTGGTGACCTTATTTCTGAAATTCCTCCAGTGATCACAGAAACTGTGCGTTTCCATTTCATTGCCATCTTTTGATTTTTCCTTTACCCATTGCTTAATGGCTGTGTTCATGATGCCATCATGTCTGTTTCAGGATATCATACCTAATGACTATAGTACAATTAACAGTGATGAACCATCACATCTGCAGGTGATCTCAATTTACTGGCATTGCAGCTTGAAAGTGGTTTAAAGATTTAATCAATATCTATTCTAGCTTTGCATCTTACAGATTATGCCTCTACACCTTAAAGAAAAAAGTTCAATAGTGCAGGCCTTGTCATTTCTCATCATTTAACAGGGTCTGTAGCTCCAATTTGCAGGACCAGCCAGATGGTGAAACTGAAGAATGTTGCTCATACACGAGTTCGAATAGAGAAAGCTGGGGAAGATGCTCTTCCCTAGGGGTTAGTGAAGAAGAATCTTCAGCTGCTTGTGTGGTTTCCAAGAACAAATATCAGGTTCTCTCCCCCATTTGATGAATTGAATCATGTTATGAATAAAATCCCATTTCTTAGAAATAGAATAGATTAAGTGTGCATTAAATCACATGGAAAATTTTTGGTTTGTAGTCTGATCATAATGGGAAGGATTTGATTTCAGTGTTCGGCTTCAAGATAGATAGTTGCTAGTGTTCTTTTTCTGTATGCATGATGTTCCATAAAATGATTACAGGAGACTTTAGAAGCATTTCCAACACCTCTTCGAAACACACAAGGAAAGCCATCGGATTCGTCAAAAGACGACAAGAAAAAGAAGAAAGTTGCAACCTCCAAGTCTCAGAAGCAGAAGAAATCGAAAACGGAGAAACTAGAAGCCCTTAGTAGACACCTTAGGCTTTGCATTTTAAGGCGAGTGCATCGTTGAAGATGGCCATTTATGATTTACACTGTACCATGCCCACAACATTGTAAAGTGTCAGCCGTCGTTTCTTTAGATTAAAATGTAGCTTCCCAAGCCAACATCTACACGAGGAACAAAGTTGGCAGTAACCATTTAGATTCTTGTTTAGTAAATTGTATTGCCCTGTGCGGGTGTTTGATTACTTCATCTTCATGTAGGAGCTATAACAAATGTCACAAAATTCCAACCATAACAACCACAGATTCTGTGAAATCCCACGTCGGTTGGAGAGGAGAATGAAACATTTCTTATAAAGGTGTAGAAACTTCTCCCCATCATATGCATAATGAGGAAGCCTATATGGGAAAGCTCAATAACTTTGAGAAAAGGCCTAGAAGGGGAGAATCTCAAAGTGGATAGTATTTGGATGAGTATCGATTTTGTTATATAACTCTAAAAGACGCGTTTTAAAATCATGATAATGACGACAATACGTAATATGTCAAAACAAACAATATCTGCTAGCAATGAACTTAGACTATTATAGATTCAAATTACAGCTATAACAAAATAAATGTTGAAATCTTGATCGGAAAATAACAGAACATGTATCGTTAAGGATTTGATGCAGGTGTATGCAAAGATTGGTTTCAACTGCCAGATAATTCTCTAATAAGATCAAATATGGGTCCTGCTTGGATTGTGGACATAATCATCAGGTTCATCAAATATTGGTCCTACTCAGGAAAAAAAATTATGTGTCGAGATGTGCTATGATATGATACACCACAATATGTAGAGACTAGCAAAACTACAACAGGAACTAACCGTGGAAGATGATAAACTAGTGAAAACAAGGAACACTAGGACTAGGAGACCCTGTGGTTTAGTCAAACTGCTCATCGTCCCCTATAGATAGTCCAGATGAAGGATCCAACGTTTCTCTGGCTGGAAAAACAGAGCGTGATCCCTTGTGAGTGGAGTTTAAACTTGACTCCAGTATCTGATGTGCGAGTATCATCTCTGATTTGGCAAATGCACCATCCTGGTACTGTCTTTGCTTCTTCACTGGCCTTGGGCTCTCATTTGGGGAGCTATGACAACCAGAATCGGGCGTCAATGGTTCGTGACGAGATGAGAAAGAATCATCAATAGAGACACTCTTGGCTTGGGCACGTTCCTTTGATGCTTTCTCTTGGCGAGGAAACTCGGATGTGGGCGCAGGTGTTGGTGGGTCGTTCTTGTCGGTTTCTGGGCAGTTCTCACCAGAAGCAGGAGCTGAGCAGGAAGAGGCAACTGGAGCTGCTCCTGAAAGAACCCCACTAAGTTTTTGTTGCTCTTCAATTATCTTCTTTAAGTACTTGCCTTGGGCTTCAATCCGTAACTGTAGCTGTCTCTGTACCTGTATTAGATATGCATAAGATGAAACGATTCAATGCTTGGGAAAATTTAGGCTGTTTCAAAGCCTGTCCTGCATCAGTCAGAGGCATCACATATGCCTTGAAACAAAAGTTGAACTAATGCACAAGCAATCATGATTCCTTATGATTGATTATTGAAGACATCAACTTATGCGTAATAGCTCAAGCCTAACGTTAGCAGATATTGTTCGTTTTGGCCCGTTACGTATCATCGTCAGCCTCACGATTTTAAAACGCGTTTGCTAGGGAGAGGTTTCCACACCCTTATCAAGAATGTTTCGTTCTCCTCTCCAACCGATGTGGGATCTCACAATCCACCCCCTCTCCCCCCCCCCCCCCCCCCCCCCCCCCCCCCCCCCCCCCCCCCCCCCCCCCCCCCCCCCCCCCCCCCCCCCCCCCCCCCCCCCCCCCCCCCCCCCCCCCCCCCCCCCCCCCCCCCCCCCCCCCCCCCCCCCCCCCCCCCCCCCCCCC